CAGAATCGAAGGCTTGCACAATAAACTTTATGCTTTCCCAAAGAACTCTGCTTGCTAATAATTATTAAATCCATATGACTATAGATTCGGAGCCCAGATATTTTATCGCGTTCATCGTCTTCCAAAGAAGAGGAAGAAGAATAGGAGGCGGCTTCGTGGACCACATTTTATTTGAACTGACGTTTCGGAACCCTTCTCGCTTGCATCGTCAGAGTATTGTAGTTGCTGCAACTATGAAACGTCAGTTCAAATATAATTTGGTCTACGAACCCGCCTCCTACTCTTCTTCCTCTTTTTTGGGAGACGGTGAACGCGATAATTATTAAATAAAATAATATTTTAGCAACGGTTATTTGATCCCGGGAACCAACTCTACCTGGAAATCCTAGGCAATAGTCATCATGACTAAGCCTAATAAGTTGGAAAATAGCGAATAGTTCATATATACTTTAATTTCTCTTTTAAACATGACAGAACTTTAAACGTCTCGTCCACAAGATAGCACACAGCCGACTATCCTTACAGCACGCGAGGTCTCGGGAGTACCGACAACACACACAAAAGTTACGCCAGTCTTTCTGAAGAAGTACTTAACTCACAGCATACCCAGTGCAGGCTCAAACGCAAAAAGGGTTTATTCCCGTAGCTGTAAACGAGGCAAGCCCTACTAAACCAACTGAAACAGGTGAGTATGTAAATGAAATGCAGTAGGGCTCCACAACCTATCCATACCCTTGCGCCTTTATTATATGTTTAAGGCACACACACTTAAGGCAGAGAACGTAGCGACATTTCGGCCCTCACAAACTACAATGTCCACTATGTACTCTCACGGCGGCTTGCGCCTGAATTATAGCGATATGGACTTGCGTTGCATCCATCGCGCACTCTCCTCCCTCTCCGACTTTCCCCGAATGGCAAAACAATGTCGAGAGTACAAGTACTCGCTTCGGACGGGGTTAAAAAAAACAGGTGAGTTACCCACCTCAAGAGAGAGAGAGAGAGCATGGCTAGTTTCGAACGTAAAAACCACAGAGCACAATTTGTGACTTACTAGTTTCAGAGGATAAAATGGAGGAAACTTACACTTTCTAAGGCCTTCTAGGGCGATACCATTTTCGAGTGTGGGGAAAGTCTTGAAAGTAAGCGAATTGTTCTGTAGCATTTTGCAGGTGTTGGCCAATTTATCGAAGTGGTTCTGAGCGGTTTTGTTGTTGACGTCAGTATTGTAAGTAAGAACTGAAATTGAAAATTTAAAGAGAAGTATGTTTATTCACATTAAGACACGAGGTATCAGATTCTCCCTACCCTACCCCTATCCACAAATTTTCCCCGAATGATAAGCTGTTTTTATACTCGCTAGTACCTCAACAAAAGCCATGAAATTGCGCATCTTGTGGTTGAGAGAATATTTAATCTGAAACGGGTGCTGAAAGAATATGGGAACCTGTAGGTTAGAGTGGGAATTAGTACGAATTCCAAGGGGCTTCCTGAGTTCCGCAGAGCCTAACCATTTGTACTTCGTGAAAATCAGTAGTTATTTTACTCGAGGCAAGACATTCATTCATCCAAACTTCAAGCTTCAGGTATTCAAGGGGTAGGTTAAAAAAGGTTGGCGATCAAAAGTTTGAGTTGTTCCGAACCGATGGACTGGAACCATTTAACAGTATTTCCCGTTTTCTGACCCGGCACCCCTGGGCTCTTTCATCCTCACCGGACACGATGCTCCATCTTATCTAGACATGAGTGCAATCTAAACCCTTAGGAACCGACGGCTTGGTGCGAGAGCTGTCTTCACTCCCTGCACCAAATCGATAAATCGATTGACTGAGTTCTCATTGGTGGCCCGGGTCTTAATCAATTCTCGGCCTGTTTTGCTTCTGGCGTGGGCGATTATCCTCGCGGCTGTGAAGTTAAAAATCGTGACCCATCACAAATGGCTGTCCACACCTGCAAGGCGGGTCACGAGTTTAACTTGGCTGCCGCAGAGGTAATCGTCCACACCGGGAGCAAGACAGGTCGAGCATTGATTGAAACCTCGGTCCCGGATAAGAGGTCAGTCAATCGATTTATCGATCTGGCGCCAGCATACAGAGTCCTACACAGGCCTCTACGGGCTGACGTCACTGGTGGTTGATTAGCTCCTACCTCCTATAACTCTTGTTTGTTTTTTTTTACGTTGGCACTTTTATCTCTGATGGTGGACTCTAGTAGGAGTTCGACAGCTCAGACAAATAAAACTATAATTCCGGTGATCGACGTGCCTACCTATTTACCAATAAAATTAGAGTTAATGAGAGGGTGGCCATCAGCCTCATCCCTTCGAAAATTCCTTCTCATCTGCGCCATGGAGGCAGTAACGGTCTAGATCAAGGCATAGTATATAAAGTCAGCCGGGTTATAAACTTGTCTTGCGGTGACGTTCTGGTAACCCAGTCGTAAAACTGAATCACAGGTTCACGCACTCATTACAAAAATGAAAGTTCATATTGTACTCCAGTTAAATTTTCTAAAAGCTTTTCAGACTTACGGATAGTGTAGTCGTCAGCGCTGGTTTCCAGAAATTGAGGAAGAACAATGCAGACGAAAATCAGCAACATCATCGTAGATTTCGCCATCCTGCTCTCAACGTCACAGCGACCTAACTGTCAGTTCTCACTCTGTCTCTCTCTCTCTCTCTCTCTTCGACTGTATGCAATGACTTTGAACTGTGCCGTGTGCGTGCGTGCGTGTGATGATCTCTTGTCAGCCAATCAGAGCTTGCACATAGCCTGCACCAAGATCTGGTCCCCCAGTCCTCGTCAGAAAAAGGTGTGCAATACAGCAGACGAGTCCTCCGCATTGGCCTCAATTTCGCCGGCCCACTTTAATTTCTGTGCCGAGTAAGTGTGTGTGTGTGTGTGTGTGTGTGTGTGTGTGTGTGTGTGTGTGTCAGTTGCAGTCTATTTAAATTCGGTCGTTCTCAGTGCATGCGATGTGACAGTAGCAAAGAGTGTGCAAAATGTGACTCATTTTTAAAAGTACACTTAGACCTTTTTAGAACTCAGAAAGAGAGCTGATATAGGCATGGCTTGTTAACCGTTATTATCCCGATAGGTAGGCGAAAAAAAAACAAGAGAGCCGGTTTCTGAGAACAACAACTTTATTCAAGGCCTGCAGAAAACAGTGGCTTCTCTAGCTCATCAACTCTAATGTATTTATTGGGTTTCTGGCCGTTCTCCAATATTCCTGCCAATGGCGTGCGATGAGCGTTCTGGAACATGGTACACGCTGATTGGTGGTTTCCCACGCTGTAATCTCCCCGAATAGTTGGGCCGCACGCGTGAGTAGAAGTCTTCCTGCTTGTTCGAAGCAACAGTGTACGCTGATTGGTTGTCTGGTTGCCCGCACCTATTACCTAGCTGGCATGGCCTGTTGCGGCGCCTGTTGTCATGTGTGTTTTTTCACCTTGGG